AGGTGCAGTGAGTGGCTTTGTACCCTCTCACCTGGCTATGTTCGGGTACCCCAAGGGCTCTTGGCACTTCTGGAGATACAGGTTGTCATGCAGCCAGGAACAGTGGGACACTTCTAATGCAGCATGGAAGGTAGGAGCAGGAGGATCAGAAAGTTCCAGGTTATCCTCTGCTACATAACAAGATCCAGGCTAGCCTGGGCTACATGAGACCCTGTCTCAAAAGAAACAAAACAAAACTGTTACACAGAGCTGGGCAATGGTGGCGCATGCCTTTAATCCTAGCACTCGGGAGGCAGAGGCAGGCGGATCTCTGTGAGTTCGAGACCAGCCTGGTCTACAAGAGCTAGTTCCAGGACAGGCTCCAAAACCACAGAGAAACCCTGTCTTGAAAAAAAAAAAAAAAAAAACTGTTACACAGAAATGGTGGGGTTGCAAAGCACACGTCAGTGTCCCTAGAACCAGGGCCCGGGACCCAGTGTTTGCACACCTCAGCCAGCGCCAGGGTCTCCCGCTCCAGCCTCCTCACCTGCCATTTCACCCTCCTCCTCTGGCCCAGGGGGGAGCAGTGCGGTGGCTGCCGGAGATCCAACACCACAGATCGGCCCCACGCCTTCCAGGTCATTCTGGCTGACCGGCCCTGCCTGGAGCTGAGTGCCGACAGCGAGGCTGAGATGGCTGACTGGATGCAGCATCTCTGCCAGGCCGTGTCCAAAGGAGTAAGTGTCCTGCTTGCACCATCAGCCCAGGATGGTAGACCCCAGGGGACAGCCCAAGAATGAGCCCAGGCTCAGGGGACTGTCGCCTGAACCATTCTCCCTCCTCTCCCTCCACTGCTAAGGTAGACAGTCTGATAGGGGATTCCTGGTACAGGTCACCCCAGAGAAACAGGTTGCCTCTCCCACCTTCTGCCAATATCCAGGTCATACCCCAGGGGGTGGCTCCCAGCCCCTGTATCCCTTGCTGCCTGGTAATCACCGAGGACCGCCTCTTCACATGCCATGAGGATTGCCAAACCAGCTTCTTCCGCTCCCTGGGCACAGCCAGGCTGGCTGACATCAGTGCCATCTCCACAGAACTGGGCAAGGAGTACTGTATCCTGGTGAGTTGGGTGGGAACGAGGGCACAGGCCCCGCCCAAGGAAATCCATGCATGCTCACCCAGGGCCTGCTGTCTCTAGGAGTTCTCCCAGGATAGCCCACAGCTGCTCCAACCCTGGGTCATCTATCTGAGCTGTACTTCTGAACTGGACCGCTTCCTGACTGCCCTGAGCTCTGGGTGGAAAGCCATCTACCAGGTAGGTACCTAGTGGTTCTTGGGGCCTGACCTCACCTGCAGGGTTCTGGGGGCAGCAATTCACAAACACTGCTGAGACACAGAAACTTAGGGCCAGAGTGGCATGTCCCAATATCAGCTAGTTTGTCAAAGCTAAAAATGGGGCCTGGTGAGACCCAAGACAGGAGCTCCTCTTCCCCAGAGCCCTGGAAAGGTAGTAGCTTTTGTTTTTTGTTTTGTTGTGGTTGGGGTTTTTGTTTTTTGTAGAGACAAGGTCTTGCTGTGCAATTCTGGCTAGTCTGGAATTCACAGGGAACCCTTTGCCTCTGGTTCCTGGGTAGCATGTGCTATGGAGGTCGCCTGTTGGTTCCTGGCTGCTCAGCCCTGAAATAATTACACAGAAACTGTATTAATTAAATCACTGCCTGGCCCATTAGCTCTAGCTTCTTATTAGCTAACTCTTACATATTAATTTAACCATTTGTATTAATCTGTGTATTGCCACAAGGCTGTGGCTTACTGGGTAAAGTTCCAGTGTCTGTGCCCAGCAGAGCTACATGGCTTCTCTCTGACTCCACCTCCTCTCTCCCAGCATTCAGTTTAGTTTTCCCTACCTACCTGCTATAGGTCCAAAGCGGTTTCTTTATTAACCAATGGTATCCACAGCATACATAGGGGACTCCCATATCACACCACACCCAGGGAGAGGTACTGTTTTGCACGCATGTGCTCCCTGCCCGCTGTGGTTCTGGAGGAGCTATACACTGAGGTGAAGAACAGTCAAGGATAGAAACATGCCTAGTGAATTCCAGGTAGACCTGAGAGCTTGGGTTCTGCGAACAAAGCAAAAGAGAAACTCGCAACATGGACGATGTTCCCAAAGGGGTGTGTAGGGCCCTAAAGGTCTTCCATGGCTCCTGGGAATGCAGCCTGCAGCCTTTATGCTTCCTGCTTGTCCGCCACAGGTAGACCTCCCTCACAAGGCAATTCATGAAGCTTCCATCAAGCAGAAATTCGAAGACGCCCTGAGCCTCATCCATAGTGCCTGGCAGCGAAGTGACAGCCTGTGCCGAGGGAGAGCCTCCCGGGACCCCTGGTGCTGAGGCGTGGCTGGGCAGCATGTACACTGTGGTGTGCCACCATGCTGTTTCGGATTCAGGTGTCCACAGGCCTCTACAGCCCACTCCTGCCTTGGGGTGGCTGAACCACTGGTGTGGCTCGAGACAGGGATCCAGAGTGGGCGCCTAGAACTCTGTGTGTCCCGCCCAACGGGGAGTGACTAGAGGTCACTGGGGCGAAGGTCTGAGCCCTGTGGGCTCTGTAGACACGCGGTGTTCCCTGGGCCACCATTCGAGTCCTTTCCATCTGCTCGGGGTGGCCGTGAGAATAATAGCATCCACTTAAGGGGAGCAAAGAGACCAGGAGGGCGGGCGGGCCATCTTCTTTTCCTGGGCCAGGGGCCTGGGCAGATGGTCAGGGCCCCCTGGGGGTCGTGAGTGCCCAGCCATTCTTGTTCGTTTTTGAACAGTCCTCACTGTGCAGGAAAGTGGGAACACTAGGTAGCTGTGCATGCCTCCTCTGACACATCCACCCCGTGCACAGTGGCCTGCTCACACGGCCTGGGCCCGGCCAGCAGCCCTCCATGGCTGCCGGGAAGCCTTGCATGTCCACAGCCCTGCCTCAAGTACAACAGAGCTTGGAGGAGCCAGGGATCTGTTGGCTCCTCTTTCCAGGAGCAAAGGAGAGGGCCTGGGAGAGCAGAGCCCATGAGCTTGGGCTCTTTGACACCTGACTGACCCAGGCTTGGCTAGAGCTGGCCCTTCTTGAGGTCTTCGTTGGATCCCTCTGGGGATGGGTCAGATGGATTGGACTTTGTCTTTTTTTTTTTTTTTTAATAAAATTGACATTATATTGCTGAGACTTGTCACTGGCCCTCTTTAGGCGTGAGATGGGGAGGGAGGGTTCCCCACTGCAACATCTTCATCGTCCATTCTGTGCCCAACAAACTGCCATGTAGAATCCGAACCAGAGTTGGGCAGTGGTGGCGCACGCCTATTAATCCCAGCACTCAGGAGGCAGAGAGGCAGGCGGATCTCTGTGAGTTCTAGGCCAGCCTGGTCTACAGAGCGAGTTCCAGGACAGCCAGGGTTATACAGAAAAACCCTGTCTTGGGGGGCGAAAAAGAAGAATCAGAACCAGGTCTGTCCCAGCTGCTTCCATGGTTCCCATGGTTCCACTGCCTGGAGGATAGAGGCTCAGAACCACACACACACACACACACACCGGCCTTTCTGTTTCTTACATAGCCAAGAGTGGGAGCCTGGTGGTCCGGTTGTTAAGGAAATGCCTAGAGCCACAAAGGTCACTCTTCACAGTGGCCCTTACCTTTCCAGCCTTCCCACCCAAGGACTCTGCAGTTTTGGGTGAACCAGGCTGAGGTACTAGAAGTTGGGGATTGAGGAGGGTGTGGACCTCTTCTGTGGGAGGCACTGTTCGAAGCAGGCTCTTCACACATCAGTCACCCAGCAGAGACTGGAGTCGGACTTGGTGACCCCTCCTCCCCCTCATCAGCAGCACCTTTCTCCACGGTCTGATTCCCTGAAATCTAAAATAGGGAAGGGAAAACTCTAGAAATGAGCGGTTATAAAGTTGTACATGTGCACTGGGTTGAGTAGGTGTGCAGTGTGGCTGGGGTGGCTCATCCCATTGTCCAGAGTGTCTGTGGTGCCGGAGCAGGATTTGTGTTCAAGTAACCACCCTTTTTTTTATTCAATAATGGCTCCCAAAGAAGTTGTCCTCTGACCTTTATACACATCTATGTCCTGTGTGTATCCCCTTACACATACACACACACAAACATGTACACATACAGGATAGCCTAAGCTATATAGTGAGACCTTGTCTCATATGTGTGTGTGTATGTATATATGTATGCATTGACATAAATGGGGTTGGCTGGGCATGGTCACACACCTTTAACCCCAGCACTCAAGTGGCAGAGGCAGGCGAATCTCTGTGGTCCCTAGCCAGCTTGGTCTACATAGTTCCTGTCTCAAAAAAAAAAAAAAAAAAAAAAAAAAAAAAGAAAGAAAGAAAGGAAGGAAGGAAGAGAAAGAAAGAAAGATTAATGGGGTTGGAGAAATTGTCCTTGGTTAGAACTCTTCCAGAGGACCTGGGTTCAATTCCTAGCACCCACCCACATGGTAGCTCCAGTTCCAGAGGCTAGAACACCTTCTCTGGCTTCCATGGACATCCGGTACACACAGAGATAGATGTGGGCAAAACACCCCTATACATGAACATGTAATAAGTGAAAGTGGGCATGGACATGCCTGCTCGTACTGCCAGCCCTCAGGTGCTGCAGGGCAGAGGCACCTGGAGATTGGCATGAGTTTGAAGGTGGCCTGGGCTATACGCTGAGTCCCAGCCAGTTTGGAAATGAGATCTGCCTCATTGATGGGGCTCTGGGGTCCTCCTTTACGGAACCTCTTGTGGAAAAGCAACCAGGAAAGCTGGGCGGTGGTGGCCACACCCTTAATCCCAGTACTTAGGAGGCAGAGGGTGGATCTCTCAAGGCCACCTTGGTGTCACTTTGGTCTACATAGCTGTTTCAGGATAGCAAAGTTACATAGACCTTGTCAAAAAAAAAAAAGAAAGAAAGAGAAAGAAAGGAAGAAAGAAAGAAACTAAAAACTAAGTGGAACTTAAAGGAAGGAAGGAAGGGAGGGAGGAAACGGAGCCATAATCTGAGGGAAGCAGACTGGAAGACGGAGGATTTCACACAGGCTATGGCGGATGCAGAGACAGGACAGTTGCTGGTCAGTGCAGGTAGCCTGTGCCTAGGGCCAAGCTGCCACAGGGACTAGCCAGACAGGGACTAGAGATGGGACAGAGGTCTAGAGGACAAGGAGGAGCACCCTCCCCTAGTTTGGCTCTTTCTGCCTGCTCCACTCTCCTTCCAGTCCCTGGTGACCTTTACTCCAGATCCCAGGGTCCAGGCCCGCCTCGCCTGCAGCAGCTGGGATTGGCCCGAGCCAGAGCGGGTGTGGCCAGACTCCCACAGCCCCAGTCTGCTGAACAACAGGTGGAGTTCCAAGACAGACCATGGGCCTCCAGTCACCGACCAGATCTGTCCTCTAGAGATGGCACGGGGCCCCCTCGGTCCCCAGGCCTGCGGCCACACGTGGGTGCAAACAGCCTAGACACGGCCGCCTATGGCCTGTGCTGTGGCTGATCCAGGCAGAGATGGCTCCTGCCACGGATGCAGGGGATATGGTGACCCCAACTGTGGACCTGGTGCTGGGTGCCTCAGCCTGCTGCCTGGCATGCCTGTTCACCAATCCCTTGGAAGTGGTAAAGACTCGTCTGCAGCTGCAAGGGGAGCTGCAGGCCCCAGGCACTTACCCACGGCCCTACCGGGGCCTTGTGTCTTCTGCTGCAGCCATTGCCCGTGCAGATGGTCTGTGGGGCCTGCAGAAGGGGCTGGCCGCTGGCCTTCTCTACCAGAGCCTCATGAATGGTGTCCGCTTCTACTGCTATAGCCTGGCATGCCAGGCTGGCTTCACCCAGCAACCAGGGGGGACTGTGGTTGCAGGTGCTGTGGCCGGGGCACTGGGAGCCTTTGTGGGAAGTCCTGCTTACCTGGTGAGTGTCTCCTCTGTGGCCCTGGGTTGGGCGGGGAAGGCTGGGAGGGGACTGTTTCCTGGGAATATCAGGCTCAGATCTGGAATCTGCCCTCGCTCAGACAACCCTTGCTCTTTTGGGGCCCATGCCCACTTGTCTTAACCAGGAGACAGAGCAGGCTCTGCAGTAGGTAGACCCTAGTCGTCATTTGCTTGTGATTAGTTCTCATAGCCTGGCATATGGTAGGAATAAAAGCTTCCGCTGAGCGCGAGTTGTTGCATCCTGATCTGGCCACTGAAGTCCTCTGTCCTTGAGACAGTGGTAGGACAGAGGCCCAAAGAGCTACTTAAGAAACTTGAAGCCAGCCGGGCGGTGGTGGCGCACGCCTTTAATCCCAGCACTCGGGAGGCAGAGGCAGGCGGATCTCTGTGAGTTCGAGACCAGCCTGGTCTACAAGAGCTAGTTCCAGGACAGGCTCCAAAGCCACAGAGAAACCCTGTCTTGAAAAACCAAAAAAAAAAAAATAAAAAATAAAAAAAAAGAAAAGAAACTTGAAGCCAGGTGTGGCACATGCCTTTAATCCTAACACTCGGGAGGCAGAGGCAGGCGGATCTCTGTGAGTTCGAGACCAGCCTGGTCTACAAGAGCTAGTTCCAGGACAGGCTCCAAAGCCACAGAGAAACCCTGTCTTGAAAAACCAAAAAAAAAAAAATAAAAAATAAAAAAAAAGAAAAGAAACTTGAAGCCAGGTGTGGCACATGCCTTTAATCCTAACACTCGGGAGGCAGAGGCAGGCGGATCTCTGTGAGTTCGAGACCAGCCTGGTCTACAAGAGCTAGTTCCAGGACAGGCTCCAAAGCCACAGAGAAACCCTGTCTTGAAAAACCAAAAAAAAAAAAATAAAAAATAAAAAAAAAGAAAAGAAACTTGAAGCCAGGTGTGGCACATGCCTTTAATCCTAACACTCGGGAGGCAGAGGCAGCTGGATCTCTGTGAGTTCGAGGCCAGCCTGGTCTTCAGAGTGAGTTCCAGGACAGCCAGGGATACACAGAGAAACCCTGTCTCAAAAGAGAACCAAAGTAAATATTGAGTGAACTCAAGCCCACTGAGACTGCCCCCAAGCTTCAGGTGTGAACTGAGGGCTACCGTACAGGAGAGGGGCTCAAACGTGCCCAGCTCATTCCCCAGTCTCTATCCTAAAGCCCCCCATCTGCTCTGGACTCCCAGGTCAAGACCCAGCTGCAGGCCCAGACAGTGGCTGCTATGGCCGTGGGGCATCAGCACCAGCATCAGGTAAAACATCTCCCCAGAACCCTGGGCTCCAGGCTGTGCAGGACTGCGGCTCTCTAGTGACCCACACCCTTTCTTCCCCGCAGAGTGTCCTGGGTGCCTTGGAGACCATCTGGCGCCAGCAGGGCCTACTGGGGCTGTGGCGGGGTGTGGGCGGGGCTGTGCCCCGAGTCACAGTGGGCTCAGCTGCCCAGCTGGCCACCTTTGCATCTGCTAAGGCTTGGGTACAGGAGCGACAGGTAAGGGGCTGGGGACGCTGTCCAGATGGAGCGGGAGGGCCCCTGCCTCTTTCACACAGGGGTGGTGACAGATGGGGTCCAGAATAAAACCTGGTCTTGCTGAATGTGGTGAGACACACTTACGTTCCTAAGACTTGGAGTGTTGAGGCAGGGTGATCAAGAATGTTAAGGTGGTTTAAAGTCAGTCTAGGCTACCTACTACATGAGACCCTGTCAAAAGAAAGGAAGAAAGACAGGGGAAGGGAGGAAGGGAGGAAGGGGAGAAGGAGGGAGAGATAGAAGGAAGAGAGGAGGAGTCATGGGAGGAAGACAAGAGATGGAGGAAGAAGAGGGGAGTCGCGGCTAAGGACAATGTTTCTCAGCTGTAATCTCAGCACTTAGAAGGTGGAGGCAGGAGGATTGCAATTGGAGCACAGCCTGCTGCATAGCAAGACCTGTCTTAACAAAAAGAAACAGAAGCAGGGGAGGAGGGAAGAGGAGATAGGGAAGGGAGGAAGAAAATAAAGTTGTTGGCTCTGTCACTGTAGTTGTGACCTAGCCCTTCTGTGCAATGGGAGCTGGGGGTCATCAGTGAACCCTGAAACCACGGAGGAACACAGGGTTGGTGTTGGGGGCTGGGAATGGCTGGAGAGGTCTGATTTGCTCACCTACCCAAAGCCTTCCAGCCCTCGTGGGCTTGGGGCAGGGAGAGCCCAGCATGGGTGAGCAGAGGGCAGTGGGCAGGGTCAACAGCCTGATCCATCCCCACAGTGGTTTCTGGAGGACAGCTGGCTGGTGGCCCTGGCTGGAGGCATGATTAGCAGTATAGCTGTGGCTGCAGTCATGGCTCCCTTCGACGTGGTCAGCACTCGCCTATACAACCAACCGGTGGACAGAGCTGGCAGGGTGAGCAGGGGACGAGGAAATGTAGGCTGTGGGGCGATGGGACACACACACACACACACACACACACACATACACACACA